CTGGCAGAGGGAGATGATGGAGCAGCGCTACAACCAGTACATGGACGAACAAGAGGTTAGAATTCATGCGTCAGGGCTAAGGGAGTACTGGTGTAGGATCCAATGTGAACTGACAAAACTGCTTGGTTTGTCATTCTTGAATCAGGGGTGGTGCAACGTCTGCACATGCACAGTGCAGAGGTGAGGGTGCAATGCTTACTAATCCTTACTAACTCTCCCCTCCCCTCCCCTCCCTCCCTCACTTGCATGCACACACATCACACTGACAGATTTTTGAGAATTAAATGGAAGATTCGGCATGTGAGTAGCATGGTCTTTTACAGCTGAGAGAGTGTCTCGTCAATATTAAGAGAGAATTCATTCTAGTTTAAGAAAAATGCATGAGTTTATCAAAATTTTAATCAGGAAAACAATAAATGGGACATAAGGTGTTATTTAACAGTTGCAGCTTAAAAATACACAAAGCAGAAACACAAAGCTACTTGACAACAGAACAAAGGCAGGACTAAAGAGCTTTAAAGTTTATGTAACTATGCCAACCTGTTCAGGCACAAAATACTGCCCTAAAATGAAAAATAAGTCTGTTTTTTTTGCAATCATTCGTTGCAAAATATGTCCCTGGTTCCTCTTTAGGATTATGAAATTCATCCCAACACCATGGTGAACAGAAGTGACCCTGTCCTGTGTGGCTGCGTTGTGTTTGCTTCTGGCGAAAAGCCACACTGTTGTATCCAGCACGTGTCAGTCTGATCAAACGATAAGCTCAGCTCCAAAATGGGGACAAATCAGGATGACTCAAATTTGATGCCCTTGGATGCTCTTCGCTTTGTTAATCCATGTGTCTCAGATTGTCTCTCTGTTTTAGTCCTACATAAACAGAGAATGTGCTCTAACGCTGTGTGTAGTTTCACTATGACAACAGAGAGGAAGTTAACCCCATTCATGTAAGGGTGATGGTGGGTGGTTCTTGAAAAGCAGTGGATTTTATAGTACAAAGTATAGTCCTTGGAGTTTTGCACCATCTAGTGTCCATTTGGTGTCACAGCACAAAAACTTGCTCTTAAAAACACCATTAAAAGACTATTTCACTTTGTTTTCCTGTTTTCTGTGACATTTTATCCACACAATTAACAATAAATGTAAACAAATGTGATTTTTGTTCTGTTTTCATGTGTAAAAAAGTAGTAAGAAAGTGTTTTTTTTCATAATTTGGGTGAACTGGGCTTTTGAACTTTATATAATTATTTTGTCTTTGTGTGGGTTTCTTACCTTGACTTCATCTCTGCAGGGTGGCGAATACGGCACAGATGAGGAAGAAGACGATGATGAGGAAGTCAGTCCGCCGTATCCCAGTGCCATCGAGGTGTTTGACCTGGCAGAGAACGAGGACATGTCGCCTCTGGAGACAGACCCAGAGAAACTGGCCCATAAATACAAAGAAGTAAGAAATGGACTCCTTAACTGGAACATTTCCTGTGTAATCACAGCTTATTTCCTCTAATGTACCTAATATTAACACATGTATTTAAAATTGTCATCTCTCATTGCCATGAAGCTCCAAATAAAGCATGCAGTGACCCAGGCTGAGATCCAACAGCTGAAAAGAAAGGTAAGTTGTTAAATTAAAATCAAATTTATGTTATATTAAATTATATTTAATGCTATAGGCAGAAGTAGCAACGAAGCATTGATTATTTTAAGGATCAGAGGTGTCCGTTTACATTATTCTCTGACTGAAATTAATGCTTCACTTGTCTTTCCAGCTGCACCACGCGGAGCAGGAGAAGCAGCGCTGGCGTATGGATAAGGCCCAGCTGGAGCAGACCCTGCAGGAGAACAAGGAGCGTATGGAGAAGCTCGAGGGCTACTGGATGGAGGCTCAGAGCCTGTGCCAGGCAGTGGACGAGCACCTGAAGGAGACACAGTCCCAGTATCAGGCCCTGGAGCGCAAGTACAGCAAAGCCAAACGCCTGATCAAGGAGTATCAGCAGAAGTAAGACAGCGCGAGCACACAGATGAGAGTTAAAAGAGTTGGGCGATATGTTACAGCCTGACACTCTGACTCTGCTTCCTTTTTAACAGGGAGATTGAGTACCTGAAGAAGGAGACCCAGCGTTGTGCACAAGTTGGAGCTGAGGCCTCTCTTCTGAAAGAGGAGTCTGGACAACTCCAAGAGCAGGTACAGGAGGTGACCTAGAAGGAAGTTACTTTGGTTGTACTTTTAGCTTTTACCCTCAAATATATTCAATCAATTTTACAACACGTCTGTGCCAAAGTGTAATCTCAGGTTACATTTGATATTTATGGAGTCCAAAAGGCTGAGTTCAACCCCAGCAGCTAATACACTTTTAAAATCAAACAGCATTTTCGTTCTTTATTTATGAGTTAGCTTACTGTATAAAAATGTCAGGAAATGAGGGCTAAGAGGGGGAATGAGATGCAATATAGGCCCCAGTCCGGGCGTTGCAATTCATGGTCTGCGTCTTAACCCGTAGACCAGCAGGGAACTCCAATAATCTTTCCATTATACATTCATTATATTTCTTAAATATTGTTGCAGAATTGTTCACAGCTTGCTAAGGTACTGAAGGTCCACATTTATCACAGCATACTTCATGTCTGAAATTTTTGCACACTGGCAATTCACAACGTTCCTCTTGTCTTTTAGAGCACTGAGCATCATGTAACGTTACTCTCTGTTTCCTGTGTATTCATTTTCAAATGTTCCCGAAGACTTTCATTAGGATCAGGATCTGTTGAGAGTGGAGGGAAAGTCTTTAAAGTCAGCACTCTTCTTTGGACTAACAGGCCTGGGGTAGCTTTGATGCATGTTTAGGGGAAAATGTTCTGTTGGAAAATCAATCTTCTTTTAAACCAGAGGGGACGACATGCTGTGCAGAACTTATTTTTGGTGTAGTTGATCAAATGCAAGTCAGCACCTCTTACAGGAATCTCCTTGTCTAAGCTCTTTGCTCGCAGCAATACATTTAAACTTGCAGTAGATTCATCTGCAGACTTTCATCCAATTTTCAATAATGGGCTTTTGCCACATTTGTCCGAAAAGGAGTAGCTTTGAAACTCTTTCTCCCGTTCTAAGGCAGCAGCTTGCAGTGTTTTTAACTTCTGTAGCTCTGTCATTATGGAGTTTGTTGATGGCAGGGTCACTTTAGGTCCAACCTGCTCTTGCTCCGAATGAAATTCACTTTCTGAAAGTCCCTCCAATTTTAGTTGCAAGGAAACTTTTAACTGGTTTGTTAGAATATGAGGCTGTGGGTTTTTGTTTTTTTTCAGCACTCATGAGAACAATTTGTCCCCAGACTGCTTCAGTAAATGTTGTGGCCTTTATATAAACCATTACATAGTTTTCAATGAAGGTGAAAGCTGACAAGTGATAGCCACAAAACCTTAGAGGATATATGTAAGTCAGTGTGTTGTATTAGTTGTTAAAAGCCCGACGTGGCTACTACTTTTGGACCCTACTGTATATATTTTGTTCACATGCCAGAACAGACTAAACATTGTCATAACTGCCTCTTCCTCTCTCTTCTCTAGGTGGCTGACCTGGAGTGCAGGGTGGAGGAGCTGAAATCTGAACCTTTATAAAAGCCTTTGTCCGTTTCCGTTTGTCAGAAAGCAGAAGATAAGTGTTATTGTACTTGCAATGACCTGCAGGGTATTTTCTCGTCTCCAACTTGAGCTTGGTTTCTGGTCGCATACTGTATATGTGTCCTCAGGCTATTTCGGCCACTTAACCCTTTTAACCATGTTTTTCTGTTAACATTTATGGGAACTGAAGAACGGTTTTACCATCACAAATACAGACTCTGTCGAGCTCTAGATGTGTACTGTTCCTTTTTAATTTTCAGAGTTCAGTATTTAATCCCTTAATTTGTGGTTTTGTGACAGACCAGGCTGTTGCTTTTAATTGCCAAAAAACAATTTCCTTTCTTTCTTTTGCCTAGTTTTGTGACCTTTTTTTTCTGAGTTTGTACAGATGTGATACTGTGTGGTTTAACAATCAGTTTGGTTTGTAAAAAATTTTAATGTCTATAACATTTAACATAATATAAACTAATGAGATTGAGGGTTGTTGTATATTTTATGTGATGAAGATGTGTAAATTGGACGGAGATTGCACTGAAGAAGACATCAACAAGGTGCTTCACTGGATTGGAGGAATGAACGGAAACAGTGTTTGAGGTGTCTTCGAAATTGTACAAACAGTAACCCAACCTTCGTAGGGGTCTTGTCACTTAACCTTGAGAACCACCTGCTGCCTACCTTTCAGAAGTGTTTGTGTTTTTTACACATTAGGACTCATTAATGAGCGTCCAATCCTCCGGTTTCAACCCCCTCGCTTCTTTCAGAAAAAAGGACCACAGAAACAAGCCTCCACAACTGCTGTGCCACAAATGAAAATGGATCTCTTTCTCTCCCTCAAAATGGATGTTGTCAAGGACTTGTGTAACTGGTATTAGTTAGGACTACTGATATAAGAAACATTACTGGACTGGGATGTTAAAGAAGCCGTTACCAGCAGCAAAGATATAGATTTAAAAAGCTTGTGTCTCTAACCAGCAGCTGCACTTGACACCGCTGTGTGTAGCACATGGAAAACACTGCCAGGTTTATACCTGTTTCAATTTCCGCACAGTTTAAAATGAAATTGAGTCTATTTGTGTCAACTGTCATACCAGTATGTTTGTATAGTTCAGGTAAGACTGAAATATTTTAATTTTACTTAATATTTATAATATAGTCAAGGTGGAAATATGAGCTAACAAGGACAAAAACTGACAAAAGCAATGCAAAAAGCAATGTTCATTAGACAGTTATACTGTGTCTTGTAAAAAAGAAGTAGATCTGGATGACTACAAAAACAAATTTAAGATTAATGAATTGAAAAAAAACAGGCATGGTTATGAGTATTTTCATAATATTAAGGCTTGTACAGTGCACATGCTTTGCATTGTATGTTTTGTGGAATAAATGGTCAACAGTGATGATCAAGTTGGTTGTTTTTATTTCAAAGCAAGTGGACATTGAGAGACAAGAAGCATTTGTTTATGTGACTGTGGAGAGTTCCTTTACATATGTTTAATTGCAGTACATCCATTGAATGAATGACATACATTATATTTATGTTTACCTCTTTCAAATAATTAACAAAAATTGAAAATTCTAAACATAATAGAATTTGTGGGGTATGAAATGCTTCGGCTTTAAACCAACTTAAGTTAGAATAATGCTATTTACAGGACATTCAAAAATTCTCTGCAACTCTTTAAGGGCACAATTGTCAAGTGCAATTCAGTTGCAATGTAGTGCAATTCAGTTTACATCTTTGATAGTTTTTTTTTTAAGTTCTAAAACTGACTACAAGTGCACCTTCTGATGGTGCCTCCTGAGATGGTAGTTTCGGGAAAAGCTCTTTCCGCACTGGGTGCATTTGAACATTCTCTGTCCCAGGTGAAGCATTTGGTGTGCTTTGAGACTCTGCGGTCGGCTGAAGCTTTTACAACATTCGGTGCAGCTGTAGGGCCTCACCCCCGTGTGCTTTCTCTCGTGTCGCTTCAGATCTCCCGACTGCCGAAAGCTTTCCCCGCAGTGAGTACACAGGTACGGCTTCTCCCCGGTGTGAGTCCTGAGGTGCACGTTCAGCTGGCCGGTGTAGGAGAAGCTTTTGCTGCAGTGGGGGCAGTTGTATGGCTTCTCGCCCGTGTGAATGCGCTGATGTTGCTTGAGACCGTAGTGGTTTGTGAAGCCCTTCCCGCAGTCCGTGCACAAGTACAGCACCTTCACCTGCTGGAAGCACGAGTGAGATTTGAAAGCTTTGGCGTTTGCAGAGCTCTTCCCACAATGGGGGCAGATGCATTCTCTTTCCCCCTCCTCCTCTTCCAGCTCATCCATGAGGGTGTCTGAATCACAGTGTGACAGATACTCCACAGGGTGGTGCCTTTTGACGTGTTTAATAAGGTAGCTCTTCATAGTGAAGGAGAACTGACAAAAGGAGCATGGGAAAAGCTCCGACGTGCAGTGATACCTCATGCAAGTGTTGCTCTTCTGATGCTGTTTGAGGTTACCAGATGTAGTGAAGACTTTATCACAGCGCTCACAGTTGTATGATTTTGCATTTACGTGCACCATCTGCTCGTGTCTTTTCAGGAAGCCAGACTTATTAAAGGTCGCCCCACACTGACCACACTTGTGCTGTCTCAAAGCGCACTTATGTGCTTTGAGCTCATCTGGGTTTGCGTAGGTTCGCTTACAGCGATTACAGCTAAACCATTTGTATTTTTCCAGCTTTCCATTTCTGGCGGCAGGTGCCTCTGGTTCAGTGGAGCTCTTCTCAGCCTGAGCAGGGCTGGTTAATGGCTTCTTGCAGATGGCTGTCCTTCGTTTTGGAGCTATGAGCTTGGTTATGGCAGAAATCTTAGATCTAGCTGCAAGTCGCTGAGGCCTCTGAGAGGGTCGTTTTTGGACAGGTTCAACTGGTTCAGCCACCGAGGGTTGTGGAATGAAGTCTGGATCGTGGCTCTGATCATCACCAGCCGGCACTGGATCATTTTCTGGATTTTCCACTGCGGTCTCCTCTGAGTGATGCTCATTTATGTGCTGCTGAATGGTGTCCACTGAAGGAAAAGCCAGTGAGCACTCAGCACAGCTAAAGGGCATGGTAGTAGATTCCTCTGGAGCCTGATTTAGTTTTTTTCCCATTTTGTTTAGCTTTTGGTGACAGCATAGGTGCCTGGTCAGGTCATTGTACTGGCCAAAGCACTTCTGGCACACAGTGCAGACGTACGGACGTAATCTGTCATGGACACTCACCCTATGCTTTTTGAGGTATGTTTCGTTTGTGAAGCTCTTACCACAGTCTGAACAATTACACTGGGATCTTTCTGCCTCCCCTGCAGGAGTATTCTCAGGTTCGGTTACATCCGTAGCTTCCTGTAGATTCTCACTTACATTCATCTGATTCGTTTCCTCAGTTACAGCTGGATCTGCACGTTCTGACCTCAGTTCCGTCAAGCTCTCTTTCTTCTCACTAAGCACTGTGCTTTGATGAGGAACAATGTCTTTTATCACAGCCTGCTTTCTGTGAACTAGCTGGTGTCTGATTAAGCCAGACGCCTGGCTAAAGCTCCGCCTGCACTGTGGACAGCAGTAGGGGCGTCTGTTTGAGTGGACACAAAGCTTGTGCCTCCTAAGGTGAGGTATTTGCTTGAAAATCTTCCCGCAATCACCACACGTATTTGACTCGACTGGATCAACACGCACCACCACCAGGGATTCTGCAGAGGGACCTGGGTCGGCACTAGAAGCTGGATTTTCAGGCTCAACTGCCTCAGCAGCTGCTGTTGTTGCGCTCTCCCCTTTAGTCTGTATGTGGAAGCATTCTGTGTGTCTCTGGAGGAAAGCCTCTGTAGTGAAGGACAGCTGACAGTGGGAGCACAGGAAGATCTGAGATGTCGCAGCTGTATTACTCTCTAAAATTTAGAAGGAAAAGAGAAAAATAACAAATGGATCAAACTAGCTAAATGACAAGCTAATGGAAAATAATCCATAAAAAATAACTACAATTGTTTCTGACTAGCAAAACATACCTGTTGCATTCAGCTTCATCAAACACACCTGGGTCCAAGCTTCACTAAAACGGGTGAGAAGTTTGTTGCTGGGCCACACCATGAGCTCATCTCCAGGGTGTATGGTGCGACAGCAGTGAAACAGGATGCTGCCTTTGTACTGGACTGCCAGCAGGTTCATCTCGTCTTTGTTACGAGCAAAATTGACGTACCTGTGCAAGAGGAGACACGGTGAAACAGATTCTTAGATGCACCATTTTCTGTCATACATAGAGAGATACCATGAGGTTAACTACAGAACACATGAATGAGAGAGAGAAAGTGTGTACCTTTCTCACTTTCAGACACCTGGATGCAGTGATTTTATTTTATGACAGGAGTCCAATTTAGTTGCCAAATTGAGTTTCAGTGTCAACTCATTTATTTCTCCATGTTAATGCCGTGTGTCGTACTATTTTTTTTCTTTTCTAATATAATCTAAAGGGTAACTCCACCAATATTACACAATACAGATCTTCCAGATACTACTGAATATGTGAAAATAAATTGTTTAAAGCCTTTCGTGGCTCGCAACCTCTGGTAAATGGCCATCACTTTATCTGTGCTACATTAGATGCTACAAGCATAAGACAACTGAATCTCTGACTGGACTGTTGGTGGTCGAGTTGCATTGTGGGTGATGTAGGCGGCAGGTTTTGACAAGGAAGAAGAAGTCATGGAATAAAAAAAAAAAAAAAGAGGATATCTCTGGTTCTGCTGCGTGGAGTTTTTTTTTAAAAAAAAAGCTGCCCATCATGAGTCATGTTATAGAAGAGCAATGCTACATCAGTGGAGTACTCTTTTGAATGAATTCTGAGGCTGGAAGAGAAAGAGGCATACACAGTCACAACAGCAGAACTCAATACATTACCTCATCCAGTTTGAGTGTGATTCTCTGGCAGCATCAATGTACTCATACTCATCTTTGCCCTTGTAAATCTGCAGAAAATAAGAATATTTAAAAGACATAATATATACAAATAACAAAGACCACAATAAGAAGAATCCAGAGAGGAGAAATGTCACTTTTGTCATTCTACTGATTTTGGTTTAACATATACAAGCTCACCTCCCAGGAGAAGTCACTTGCCACGGCGTTCTCCCTCGTTGTCACTTCCCCCTCAAACGGTCCAAAATGCATTCCTGGAGACACTATTGGTCCATGATTTATGACTCCGACGCCTGCACTTGGAATACTAGATCTGCCTATCATCAGGCCATAGGGAATACTGAGGAGGGCCCTCTGGGGGATGCCCATGCTCGTTGGAAAGTCGAGAATAAAAGAGGGGCCATTAATGTTAGCGGGATCACTCTGGTCCTGGAAGAGAGTCAGACACTCCTCACAATCTGGAAAATGTAAAAAAATAAAAAAGGCAGAAGAACGTAAGAATGCAGTGATTGATCTTAATGCTTATCAATGTAAAACCATGTATTATTTAACAAGTGCAGATAGCACTACCATGCACATTAATACAGCATATTCCATCTACAAAAAAGGTAAGCAAGAAAGTACACCCAAGGCTAAATATCTAATCAGCATTAACATTTTATCTAGTGTTGCTGTACCATGTTTAGATTACATATCTCCTTATTTTAGCATGCACTGTCTGCACCCAGGTTCAATGTTTTTTCATTAATGGACAATTCCAGTCACAAGAAGAAGAATAAACAACATTAATGCCATCTGTTCATTGCCTGCCTTTAGTTTGTGGCTCTACAAGTTGTCCAAGATAATGTAGAAACTTTGTATTACGCCTAAGGATGCTGTGGATATAATTATAAGAGGAAAGAAAGTGTCTTGCTTACAGAAGCCACTATCAGCCTCTGGGTTATCTCCATGTCCCACAGTGTCCAGTAACCTCTGGATTGGCGTTTCTGCTGGCTCTAAAACCTGTATCACTACAGCAGCAAAACAAAGACACTATTTTAGAAAGGCACACATGAAAACAAGTCATAAAACCAGGTTAAATGTTAAAACTGTAACCCAGTGCACTGAGGAAACCTATCATACCTGCAGGAGTGCTGTTCTCGGGGGGCAGACACTCCTCTGTTATAACTACCTCCTCGGTTGTCTCTACCCACTCCACACCGTTGCTCTTGTCCGCCATGAGTGCAGACTCTGCGGAGGTTTGACGGGAAACTGTTAACGATCAATCTTTAAGACAGCTGCTCACACAAGTAGACAGGTTACAACACATACAGGGAGCTAACGCGTTAGCGCCTTGAGATAGCTCGCTGAACATCAGTCAGTAAACAGTTTAGCTGGCTAACATTAGATTTCATGGAGAAGATGGAGAAGAACCGCAGTCTTGGTAAGATTCAGTAGAAAGAAAGTTCTCGAGTGAGTCTGTTTTGGCTAATAATTTGCATTATCATAGCTAACCCGAGAGTTAGTTAGCGCTATGTGGCTATCACAGAAGCACCAGCAAGACGGAGACATTATAAAACAGAATAAAGTAATATTTTTTTTACATTAATGTATACAGACGATTAATCCTCGGACTGTTCGCCAACCACGGTTACAAACTGGTTTTAGCTGCTGAGCATGCTGTTAACATATCGGACTGAAATCCAGGAACACACAACTACAAGCTGTCCCCGGAAGTAAATAAATCCCCTCTTTCAGAATAAGGGTCCACATTTATGTCTGTTCTTTTCTAAATAAAAGCGGTGACGTTGGTTCACATTACCTATTTGCGATGGAGCTACTCTCACAGTTGTTCGTAGTGTTTTTCCCATTGAGGCCAATCAGTCACATCGAAGCGAACATACCTATTTTATCTTAACCAGTAATCGTATTTCTTAATTGGTTATCTATTGACTACCATTGGAGGTCTATCAGTCATCGGCGCCGCTGGTGTAGTGGTATCATGCAAGATTCCCATTCTTGCGACCCGGGTTCGATTCCCGGGCGGCGCACGTATTTTTGTACTTAGAGCTGCTTAATTGAATAAAATCTGTGTCTTCTAAAGCAAATTGTTAGATAAATTCAACAAATCTATGTTGTGGTATTATATTGTTGTGCACAAACTGTTTGCTTCGTGGCACGCGTTACTGTTTTATTGCTGTTATCACACAAACTTCTCAAGAGAGTTGGCAAAAGCAGAACAAACAAAACTGTTTGGAGACTGAATCTGAATACCTGCAGCCTATTGCACCAGCTGTGTGTAAGTTCACACTTAGCCTTAGTTATAATGTAAAATATTATGAAGTTGTGATTTATGCATTACTAAAATAAAAGCGGTTGCACCATTGACAGTGTATGAGTTGCACCACGGCCAGGTAACAACTAAATAGTTACACATGCCCTCTAAGGTGGTGTAAATTATAAAATGTCACAGACTTATACTCACAGACAGAGTGCAAAGAACGCTGAAATAAATATTTATGTGCAGGTTTCTTTATGTAGATGAGGTAGGTGGATATTAGAAGATAAGATAACATGTTCCTTTATTGATACAGTTGATACAGTGGAATGTAGTGCAAAAAGTAAAATAAAGAATAATAAAATAAAAGTATTTTAAAGATAGAAAATATATAAGCCTATAATTCAAAATATATTCACTATATGCAGTATGCAGTAGAGTGGTGTGCAAAATATTTTAAACAGCGTATAACAACAAATAAATTGTCCATGTGCATATTTGCAAGGTGTAGTTTGTGTACAGTTGGTTCAAGTTATTGCAGTATACACAGTATGCACAGCACGGGAAGATGTGTTTCAAGGACTTTATTTATGTTGTGAACTGAATTTCAACAATGAAAAAAAAAACCACAAGTTTACAGATGTTAAATAAATAGTTTAACTCATCCAGGTGCAATCAATTTCAGCAAGCTGATTTAGTTAGAGACTGCCCAGTAGTGTGCAGGGAGCTAATGCAGGCTCGCTCAGCTACATCTCCCTGACAGCATCCATTCCCTCCTGGCGGGTGGAACCTGTTGCCTGGCAACCTGCTGAATGCTGCCTGTATGTTTGTTGATATTGTTCAAAGCAACGAGGTAGCCAACAGAGAGCACCACAAAAACAAAACAAAAAACAACTAACTTAACGTTACAGCATCGACATGAAGTCTGTTAGATTTGGTGGAAGTGTGTCGTTCAGCGAGAGGAGCTTTAACGCGGCGGAGGGATGTCTCAACATGTGCGGGATGTGTCCATCTTGCGCCTTTGCTCCAGAACCACCGGCGTCCACTCGGTGCTTGTGGACGGTGTCGGATGAATTCAAGAGGAGGTTTCTAGTGGAGCTGCTTTTACGGTGCAGAAACACCCAGCTGCTCGAAAACGTCCGGAATATGCTGGGTGTAACGTCGTGGACTTTATTCACTTACGCCAGATCAAGGAGCCCAACTTCTCCTCAGGATTTCCCCTGCCGCGGTGGTCCGGAGGGTGCGCTGGACGGGAAACCACGGGGCATGAACATGAGTCAGATCTGGGACTGGTTCAATGGCAGCCCGGACTGGATAAAATCACGATATCTGTGCCGTCTTTTTTCACTTTGTGACTCGGAACTATTACGCATGGTGTCTAATTTGACCAGCGTGCTTCTGGTCAGACAAAAACGAGGGTTTCTGCAATTTAATGGTAAAGACAGCACAAAGATTTATGCTTTTTTCTTTTTCTTTTGGAGTTGTCGTTTATATATATATTTTTTTTACCAACAAACTCTTAATTTTACATTTCTCTTAGTTCAAGTTGTAACGTATATTTAAGGTGCAGACAGTGCAATTCCACTGATTGCCGCTAGATGTCGGTAAATAACCCAGATACAGTTAGCGATGGCTTTTCATTAATGAAGGGATCTAATGAAACAAGTTCTTTGCTCAGTGGATTTGTAATGTTTAGTTATCAGTGCTTCGTATCACATAATAATTGCATGTCCATTTCAGTGAGAAGCCGCAGTACCAATCAACGTGATCAAGATGAGGACTCAGAAGACCCTGCTCTCATGGTAGTGCCTGGATCCTCAAAGTCTGTGTCTGGAGTGAGCCGATACCGAGACTTCATAGGCTGCCTACCTGTTGATCTGTCAAAGAGGATATTAGGTAAGTCTAGGTTCACTGATATTTGGAGTACCTTTCAACAGAAGCACATGCAGTCAGTGTTTGCAGCCTGCCAGATATTTGGGTTCTTGATGTAATTCAGTTAGTTTTATATTTTGTGATGTATTATTTTATGCAACATATACTTGCAAATTAATTTTATAATGTGCACTTCTGTAGTGCCTCAAGATTTCACACACACAAACAGTAGTGGAGTTGACTTCTTACTCTCTCAGTGTTCAGTCTGAAGTGACCATTGACATTCAGTCTAACAGCACTATGGGGATTCAGCTAAATTACTCAAGAATGCTCTTGTTTAAATCCACCCCATTCAAGTGGATATAAGAATAACAAAGCCCTGCCGAGCAACCGATTGGCTGTTTGCTCCCAGTGACCTTTGTCTGCAGGTTAAAAGTATGTATTACTTAAAGGAAGAATGTGACAAGTAAAAAGGCGTCTATGCAGTTTAAATGCACTGTGACAAAGTAATGAACATAACATTTTGGGTATTTTTGTCAGTAACTCTTATTTTTAAACTCTTAATAATGTGCATACCCGTAGACATTATACTGTGCATGTGTGTCTTCTACCAGGTCTGTTAGATGAGCACGCTTTGAGGCGCTGCCACAAGGTTTGTCGATACTGGCAGCACCTTGCACAGGAAACCACGGAGGAAATCAAGCTCAGAAGAATTTTCCAGGATCAAATTGAGGCAATGATGAAGGTGGAGCATTTGGTTTTAAAGCTGTTGTAGTTTTTTGTGATGAGATTGAAATCAAAACCTTTTTTTTTTTGATGTGACAAGTTTAACAATAAGATATGTTTCTAATAAAATCAGTAATAGTTTTTTTTTCCTGTCCTAGAGGTGCAGAGGTGTTAATATAGTCAGTCCTACTTACGCCAACATTGTCAAAGTCCCCGTTCCTGCCAAGGATGATGAGGAAGTGGATGTTCATCCTAGTGTCCACAAGGTCAACAAATCAACACTTTATGTCTGTAAATGTCAGTTTCTGTACCAGAAATGCAATTGTACATACATGGATTATCTTTTCTTTGATTGGTCCCACAGGTCGAGCCATTTGCAACCGCTTATGCCAAAATGAAGAAGACCAAGACAGTGCAAATGGAAGAGAGAAATGTTTACTGTGGTGCATATTTTACCACAGTGCTGCTGGACAAGTTAGTGGGATCAACCTTCTGTTTGGATGTAGCTAGAGGCTCACTGGTGCTAACAAACACACATTGTCATACCACGAATGTCATCTGGTTGTGTGTTGACAGAGAAGATCTTCTGCGGGTGGTGGGCTACAAAGGCGGGCCGTTAATGGCCATGAGTTCCAAGGACCGCGCGGTGCATCTGCTTTACGTGGCCTCAGAAACAAAAGTCGTATCTGTGATGAAGGGCCATGTTGGCAGCATTCGGGCAGTGCTGCTCTGTGAGGAGAGAGACCTGGTGATAACCGCCAGCTGCGACGCAAGTATCAGGTGAGGAGGAGATGGAAGATAGTGCATGTCGTAATACATATTCCTCCTTGGGATTTAAGTAGATTTGTTAGGCTGGGTGTTTATTTGTTGTGTAATCACATCTATAGGTGTTGGAATTTGAAGACAGACAGGTGTGTGATGGCGCTGTATGGGCACACTGGCACTGTCAACTGTCTGGATGTCCACGATGATAGACTTGTCTCAGGAGCCAAAGATTGTCTAGTGAAAGGTAAGCAGCCATTGATGTATAGCATTCATATTATTCATTATTAACTGTAATATTAACAAACCTGGCCTTCCGGTTGTTCCAACACATCTTCTACCAATCGCATTTTCTCTAACAAGAAATGACCTTCAGGGACCTATTCCAAGAAGCAGGTTTACTGCTATCTGGATTGTGTTAGAGCCTCCCAAAGGCTGGAAGATGAATTTTGAGTTTTGTTCCAAAAAGTTATTCAGTAAACCTGAATCTTCGACTCAAATTTTGAATTCAGTGTCTATTTCACTTGTATGGGAACAATTTTTTCCATATATGTCTCACAAGTGATTGAATTGCAAGAATAATTTGTAAGTTTTAATGTTTAATGTTTAATACTGGTATGTGTACATACCTAAAGCTAAACTTAACCCCCACACTGCCAGTGTGGAGTCTACACACAGGGAAGCATTTTGAGGATTTTAATTTCAAGCACCCCAGTTCAGTCCAGTGCGTAAAGATCAACCAAAGAGCCGTCTATAGCAGCTGTGATCGGGGCCTTGTCAAAATATGGGACATGGAGAAGGCATCGCTGCTCAGGGTGAGAATATTAGTCATTTGTGGAGCAAATGTGGAACTTTTTTTAACCTGTATGTCATCTACAATTGATAATACCTATGCGTCTGGTCACCGTTGTTGATTGTTGGTGTCCTACTTTTCCAAAGGTGATTGATGCCCACAGGTGCCCAGTGAAGTGCCTGTTCATCGACGAATGGCACTTCTTATCCGGGGACGCTAACGGTCAGGTCATGGCCTGGAGCATCAACAATGACGCTAAACAGTCGCTTATGACCTTCAGCCACCCAAAGTAAGCAAGAAACCTTTGGAGCTCAAATCCCCAGAAAGTTCAGCATTTTTACTTTAATCTTGTAGGATTACAGTGTCTTCAGTGTATTTTTTAACTTTTCTTACCTTAGTAGCTTTTCCCTGACAGCGTTAACTATTTGTAACTAATAGAAATATTCTAACTGTTATTACCACCTGAACAACTTGTGTGAAATATCTTGCCTGCTGTTTTAATTACAGTATTCTCCACAGTTACGGTTTATATATAACCCTAAATGTTAAATTGAAGGCTGTCTTTTCTGCAGGGAGGTAAAATCTCTCACTCTCGTCTACCTCCGTGTCATTACTGGCTGTCTTGATGGAAAGATTCGCATATTTAATTTCCTCACCGGAGATTGTCTCAGAGACATAACGGCAGAGGCTGAAACAGGCCGAATACTGTCCCTGCACTTCCATGACAACAGGTGAGACAGATGCGTGAAAGCAGGTTTATTTGTTATTATGGTATAATGTTCAGATGTTGTACCAATGCTAGTATGCATTCGTCTTTCCTATTTTATTTTACACGCTCTTTTAGTATCTTAGTGAACACGACGTCCAGCGTGAAGCGGTACCAGTTTGCCAAAGTGTTTTGGGACTACACGGCGTCGACAGAGGGAGGCCAGGGTGATGTTTCTGAGAAATCTGCAGCTTTGCTCCGAAAGATTCCCCTCGCTTCTGTTGGGGCCGATCATTTGGCAAAAGTGGATTCAACCAACACCTGCTTCCTGCCTAACCCTGCTAAATGGCGAGCACAAGGTAAACATGCTCAACAATAGAGGAAATATGTTTGAAGTTCCGTTGGTCCCTGTTGTTAATGAAACCTTTCCTTCATAGCCAGAGAGTGCTTTGCTAAACGGTCGGTGATGCTGAGCGAGAAGGCAACAAGTGAACGGATAAAGAAGAGGGGTCTTCACCATCCTCCGACACGTGACTCCATCCTCCTCAGGGTCAATGCAATCCAGAAGGCTCAGTGCACGGACGAAGTGAGCATCAACATGGAGTGCAACGCCAGGCTGCGAGATTCCTGGGACCCTCTGGATCCTCCGCACTCCAACCTGCAGGTGCTGAAACAGAGGCTGCAGACTCCGATATATCCACTGTGGCACACACATGGCGGTGATCCCAGAAGGGCCAAGACCTGTGTACCCATTTCAAAGAGAGCTGTTGGTCAAAATGTGACAAACACAATGCAAGGCAGAGCGGAGCCTCACAGTGCTAACACACACAGGGCAACCAAGAGAGTGAATGGATGCACTACAAAGGCTCCTGAGTGCATGCACATGAGATCACAACCTAATCCAAAATGCTCCATGAAAACTAGAACCAGCTTTCCCAGCATCAGCGCTGTGAGTTCATTCAGAGAGCAGCGAGGGTTCTCACAGTGAACCAGCTGGAAGACTGTGTCCGGTCCAAGAGGGATCTCATGCAGAGCTGTGAGCAAATCCTGTCCAAGAGGAATACGAAGCAGGAGACAAAACAGTGTGAAGAAAGTCACATGTGCATCAATAGATGAAAATGTATTCCTTTTTTATGATAATGTGTTAGCAGAACTCCACTCACCACGGCACAGTGGGTGTCCTGGACATCTTTGTTGTCCAAGGCACCGTGTTTTTAAATGTTATGTTTCATTAAAACTCCACTAGGGGTCAGTATTGTATCACCTGATTGTGACTGGATGAGGCTCCAGGGTTATTATAAAGTAGTTTCCTTTAAGTTTTATGGTTCTTTATACTGTATTTAAAATCAGATTATTGTATGGTAAATTTGTATTTTTTTCTTTTTTTGATATATTAACTTATTAACTTATAATACTAACATAGTTAATATTTATAATGGGAGGGAGAAGCCAGTTAATTCACTGTTTTTATACAGTGTATCTCAAATATTTTAAGTAATTTGCTTCTAGAGTTTGATTTCAGCCAAACTTTTGAAATAAAAGGTTGTATTTTCATATTCTCGAACACTTTTACAATTTTCTTTTTAAATGTAACGAAAAATGTCTTTTTTACAAGCATGTATTCTCAGATTCCAACAGTTATAATTATCAGCGCCTGCCACTTAACACCTGATGTTTGTAACAGCGTGTTCACACTTTTTTGTAAGAAGAATATTCAAAGCTGGTAAGTTCCCTTCAGTTAATGAATCACCCTGGAAAACACTCCTTCAGCAATCAAGCAACAGCAAATCTTTGTGGATTTTTAGCTTCTGCGGTACTTCAAACAAGATGGGAGAAGTCATCAGAGTGAGGGGAGTTTGTTCCATCCAGAGAGACCTTTCACCCTGCCACCTGCCCTCTAGCCCTGGTGCCTTGAGGGCATCATTAGGAGCGAGGAGGTTGAAGATCGGGGAGAAGGTCCTCTGCTTTGACAGCAGCAGCACAACAGCTGGGCACCCGTGAATAACAAAGGGTTATGAGCAGAACTGACTGGGTAAGACGTCCCACTTTGGAGAGTCACTTCTTTCAGGAGCGCTCTGCTGCTAATTAATTTGATCTGCAGAGAATGGGGGATAATGGCGTCTCCCCCTTTTTTCTCCTGTGGCACTGTGACGTAGGGAGACAATGCAATTCCCTCCTGCCACCCCGAGCTCGGCTTAGCTTCATCATGCAGCACAGCTCCCCCATTGTTTCATCAGGTATGGGGTCTCTTGTCCAGGACCGGCGGAGCTGCAGGGGGGGATAATGAGCGTAAAATCAAAGCAAAGTTAGAAAAGGGAAAGTCTTCATGGAGGAATGCTCTTAGACCTTCTGCTCCCTCGAGTAGGCCCAAGGGTTGGCTGGGGAGAGGAGGGTACAGGTTTATTTATGCATGAGGAGAAGCTTGAAAGAAATGACAGTTCACCCTCTCGCAGTGAAAGAAGGTTTGGAGGTTCGAGAGAAGGTTACAAAAAGACAATTCAGTATGACCCAGCCGACCTTAGCTCCATATGGATCTCCATCTCCAAAGGCGGATATTTGCATCATAGTTCATTTGTCAAATAAATTTTTCAATTTTTGTCATGCTGTGTCAGCAGCAGGTTTGAGCTCTTAACTCGGTTAGACTAGAACCCTATTTCCAGACCAGGTCAGTCCAGGCCAGTCATGGTATAAAATGTGATTAACCAAATCATGGTCTGCATGATCTTTTTATATTTGCATGTCATTCAGACGGGTGGCTGACTTGCCCTGGAGCTGTCCAGATATCACACCGTTACCAGGTCTAACGAGATGGGCATCAGATGCAAAAGCCCAATGAATATGCAAATCACATCATTCTCATGGGGCGCTGACTTGCGATAAGACTGGGGACTTAGTCTATCCTATTGTGGGAAACATACTCTAGACGTTGTTCTGAAAGGCAGCCATATACTGTGCTGTATCCTAGAGACTGCTGGAGAACTGAAGCTAAGCTTAAACAAGGGTCATAACGAACGACTTCAAGGCCTGACAGAGCAGTGACATCAACACATGGGAGCGACGACAAGTGCCTTGATCTTAGGACAGCTTTAAACGCCAGGCCACACGGCCAGCACTGTTTCCAAACGTCCTCTGTTAGGATTCAGAAGAGCCAGGCTGGAAACAAGATCCATATGCCTTTCTGACCTCATTTGCAGATAGAGATCATAAGCGAAAGGGGATACAGCCAGAACGAAGGGAGGCAATTAACAGGAACACCATTACCGAGATATGGGACTGATTAACATCCACATCCAGCCAAGCCAAATAGATAAGAGGGAATCTGATTGCTCACTGATTGGATCTCGGCGGTGCCTCTGCAGTGGGCAGGTTCTTGTTTTCTAAAGTTGGACCTTGCTGCATTCAAGGGGCCCCTGATTGAGCCAAAAAGAGCAAAGTGAAACCACTGTGACCACACATCAGGAAGATGATCAAAGAGGCTACTGCAGGCTTCTGGCTCCTCGTATACAAGACTAACCCCCAACAGATGATTGTGCTAAATTGTTACTCACAGATGGCTCAGTGCTTACGCGTGTCAGAGAGCACAGATATGGGCTGCGGAGTTGACACCTGAGGTTGATGTAAATGCTTCATTCCATATAAAGAGCCATTGTGTAATCGGACTGTAAAGGTAGCAAGATTTTCCCCCCTCGCTCTTGATTTTGTTTGTGTTTATTTCATTAAGTTTAAACTTTTTTCGTTTTCATTTAGGAATTGAGTGATTGTGCCATCTGTTTCTGCAGCGTGGCATCTGGAATGTATTTTTGATAATTGCAAAGAGATTATTTTCTATCTGCAAGACCTATTCTATACAAAAGGCCTATACAAAAACAAACAAAAACAAAATCAAACACACCGGTGTTTCACCACCAGAGGCTATGGCATATATTACATTTAAAGTTGGTCGTTTCAGTGCCACTATTGACAGAGAGCCATGATGTTTGGAATTTGTCCTCTGGGGGGCCCACTAGACCTGTTCATAGACCCGTTCAGTGGCAAGTCCGGAATGTTTCAACCAATTATGAGTGTTCAAGTCTCATCTCTTCTATGTGTTTTTGACTGCCACCTCACATAATCTTTGTTAAGCGTTAACTGTATGACCTCACAATTACTTAGAAATAATTTTGTAATTAGTGTAAATTGCGTGTAAAATAACACTACCTTCTTTTCGCTTATATATTGCTATAATTAAACTCATAAAAGAAATAAGAGCAGAAATTCAGTGCAGTCTGAAACTTTAATAACAGGCTTTACAATCCATTAGGTTTTCACGGCATGTCAATGTGAATGTGTCTCAGTGCGTCACTTTTAAACAAGAGAGAAGGGTGTCATGAATTGACCTGTGGTCTCAATGGCCCCCAGTCTTCACAGAGCAGCTCCAGACACATGCAGGCGACAGTGTTAAGTGTCATAATTTCACTATTTTCTCAGACATAAATATGGAGACGTAAAAGTCAAAGGTCAACTGCATAAAACTTCCCTATTTAGAGGTCAGTAGACGCAAATCGTCTAAGGGCGAGGGAGGAGGGGGGCGGGGAGTGGCACCTTGGAACAAGAAGGCAATTCACAGGCGAAAAGTTATGGCAAACGGCATCTCACTCTACTTCCTGCCAAAGAAGAACAGAAAATTAATTGTAACACTGGACTACAAAGGTCTTCATGCACCACAGAAGAACAAAACACTTAAGTGGGCCCAGAGCTGCAGCTGAGGATTAGAGGTCTTGTGTTGGAAGCAACTGTACTTTTCTTGATATCTCACTGAAGAGGCATTTAAAAATGGTGCTGCCGCCATTTTTCTATTTAGACTATAATCTAAATGGTGACTGGCTACAATACCATCGCCACAATAAAGAGAAGTGCTTCTATTTAAGGAGTTTCAACAACACAGCAATAATGTGAGAGAGAGTTTGGGACAGCTAATGGACATCTTTATCAGGGCTTTCCTCATAGCTTGAGTCATGCACTTAATCACAGTCTGACAAACAAATAGCTGTTCGCTCATGTCTGCTACAGATGTTTGCTCTCCTCTGAATCCTGATACCAGCGGAGCTCTCGCTGTTTAGAGAACAGTACCTGATAAGAAAGCTCCTCCCTGACTTGTGGGTCAAGCGACTGCACATGCATAGACACACATACAGAATCTCGCTCTTAGGGGAGCTTTTACAGCTGGTTTTGGGTTCTTAAATGGGTGCCGGTGCATTGTCTTTGTTGAAAAGTGAGTCGTTTTGTTTTCATTAATCAACTGTTGCTGTCACGGTCCACTCCACTCAGGGTGTTATCATTTCATACAAAAACTTTAAATAAATGTCTGTTAAGTCACTATCGCCAAATTAGGTAACACATTGGTGACTGAGCCTTTAGCTTATGAAAGTATTGCAATATTTATATGTTTGAAGTATTACAAACTGGTTGTCTGTGGTGACATTCCTGGAAAAGATGGCCCAATCACCATTGTGTTAACTAATTTGGCAATGGATAGTCACTTAACAGACATTTATTGAAATGAAAATCTTCGAGATTGTCCTTTTAAAGTAGATCCCGAGAATATTCAAGCAATTCAGGCAACTCCTGAAAACGTTCACTGCTATTTATCCTGCAGCTAAATTCACAGTCTTTTTGTAACCTCGCCCTGTATCCGTCACAACAAATGCCACTTTCCAGACACAATGACCTGACTGCTGTTGCTCTCTCCTCGCTTGACCCTGGCCCAGGAAGAGCCTTTTTTGGAGCCGAGGCGAACCAACGGGTGTCCTAGCTTGGATATTTCACAGCTCAGCGGGTTCTCTAGCATGTTGATACAAGTGCTGGGAAATAACACACAGCCGGTTGATTCATGCCATTTGTGTTTTTCATTTAGTTGTCATGTGCAGGGTTTTTTTTTTTTTTTTTTAGGGGACCTGGGGATAAAAGTGACCCATATTAGCAGCAGATGTTTTGGGTCATGGAGTGGAGCGTCTTATGTGCTTTTCCCAGGGGCCCGTGTGGTGAGAGGAGTATCAGTCATGGCCACCAGAGGGGCAGCTGTATGAGCAGGAAGAGCATTTTTGCAACCTGAAGGTTTGTTACTGGAAAAGGCTCAGTTTAAACCCCCTGAAGGTGAAAGACTAAAATTGTTCCTTTATCAGCTACTGTCACCCTACCCTACATACAGACATTTGCAGCTGAACAAAGCTTTACATGTTACTGTCTAGACACAACATTGTCCTGTTTTTTTTTTTTCTTGTGTAGGCTAACCAAAATGGCCTGGGTTTGAAATTCAAGCAAAATTTGTTGAACATTTTCTGGTATGTTTCAGCCACATATCTCTGCAAGTAAAGCATTCAGGTCAAAAAGACTAGGTTGGGGGTGTAGGCTACTTTGTTCTTGTTGTTAACTAGTGAGCTTAAAGGAGTAGTTAGACATTTTGGGAAATGCAAGAGTTTCTGAAGCTTGAGCTTATCACATACACTGAAAGCTTGATTCTTTCCAAAGATTGAAAAAATCCACCCATACCAGCACCTCTAATACTACTAATTAACATGTTATATC